TGTCAAGTGTTTACAAGTTTGTGGTAATTATAAGATGTGATAAAACAAATTTACTTTATTTAAAGATACTGCGTCTTCTCGACATGATGTTAACCACACAGAAATTTTACTGATTGTGGGCGGGCAAGTTGGCGATGTAGATCGTGGGCAGACATTATGCAAATGTGTTACTTCATGACGTAGAGCCGTAACAGAATAAGATTTGAATTCCCGACGACTCGTTTAGGCGATTGCGAGCAGACTCTTTTTTTTTTTGATAGACAATAACTTTATTTATCGTGCACTGTCGGCTTCACAACTTTGCAGATAGTTTATGTTCACATACAGCTACATGACACACTGCATGAAAGGTAATATTCGAAAAGGCATACTAGGGGCACTTTAAAGAAATAATTTAACATTTCCATAGTAATAATAATAAAATTAATAAAATAAATTATTAAAGGTATAGTTCACCCACCCAAAAATGACAATTGTGTAATCATTTACTCACCCTCATGGTCCAAAAGAGAATATGTAAAAAAATTTATCAAACAAAATATTTCTTGCTGAAGCTACTTTTTGTTATGTCTGTTTGATGCTTTACACAACAATGACTTTATATTTTGGGAGTAATTTCTCAGCCAAATTTGATGTGCGATTAATTTGCGATTAATTAGATAAATTAATCGCCACATCATGTAATTAATTAGATAAAAAATTTTAATCGCTTACCAGCCCTAATGTATGTATATATATATATATATATATACACACAATATATGCAATCGCCCCCCCAAATTGTTAGTCATGGAATCCCTGATGTCGGCCCCGCTGCAATTGGAGTGCTTAGCCAAGCGCTAAATACCGTTGAGCAATGTAACCAATCTGGCCAAACCTCCACAGACAGCGCGCGTCCCGAGCGAGATCTAATTCACGGACCAAAAGTGTGTGTAAACTTTACTGAGATCGGGACATATCAACCAGTAATTGAATTTCATTTCTAGTAACGGACGGTAGAAAGTTCAGCAATGAATGTATGCAATTTATGACAGAATATAGTCCCACAACCGATCATTTATTTTTTCCTCACGTAGGTCTCGCCTTTGGTAACAACGATTCAAAACGGAAACATTTCAAGTGACACGGGAAAAAGACATGGAAAACTTCAGTGACCATCAGAAAAGCAGCATGCACATTTCTGGTTAAAAATGAAAGGCCATCAACTGACAAACGGGAAGCATCACCATTCAAGTCAGCAGGAAGAGTGTAAGCTAGTCCATAGTTTACTAAACGGTTGCAACCTTTTTAAGTTATTCTTGACTGTGTTGGATTGACTGCTTTGATGCGTTGCAATA